CTCCTCCTCCTATTAACATATGGACGCAATGCCTCTGAACTCAAAGTAAAATCACAGCTTTTTTGACTGCCAAGTCAAACTTGATGCATAGTTAGCTTGTAGTCCATTAAAACTCCCATATCTTTTTCACATGAACCTTTGTTTAACTATCTCCTCCCTCTAACCCCTTCACTTGCAGAGTTGAATTTTTAGTAAAGGACTTTACATATATTTATTAAATTTAATTGTCTTACATTCATCTAATCTTTTTAGGTTATTGATATCTTTTTGGACCCTGACTCTTCTTACTATGAGTTAGCTATCTCTTTCATTTGCACATTTGATAAACATGCCTATATATCTCCCTCCAACTTTTACCTATGAACTATACAAGTATAAATACAAACCCCTAGGGCCCTCCACTGGAGACCCTCCTAAAAGTCAACCTTAATGACTCTGTCTTGGTCTTGTATTTCAACTGGTTCTTAATTCACCTAACTGTATTTTTGTCTAGCTCATATTTTTCCATCTTGACCCCAAGGAGAGCATGATAGACTTTGTTAGATGCTTTGCTGGAATCCACATATTCTATGTCTGTGGCCTTCCTCTGATCTATTTTACTAATTTGGTAACTTTCTCAGAGAAGATATAAGGTATCCTAAATGATCTCTAAGGTCTCTTCCCTCTAATGTTCTAAGTGCCGTTAGTTATTTGACTTTGTCTCCCACGCTGATCTAGCACTTCATTCTCATCCTGCTGTTCATCCCAATGCTGCATTTTTCAGCCATTTACTGTTATTGAACATAATGACATTTTTAGTATTTAAGCAGACCAACTGGAGAAGTATAATTGCTGAAAGGAATCCATATAGTGTAATATAGGGGTTATATATTTCAAAACAGACTTTAGCAATTAAAATACTTAGCAAGTGACTACTACGTGTAAGACATTTTGCTAACTTTGAGGGACTTAAAGACAAAAACATGCTGCTTTCAAACAGCTTCTGTTTTACTGGAGAGAGAGAGACAAAATGAAAAGGGGTGAGGATGTATAAGGTGGATCACGGAAGGAGAGAGCAGTGATGGGGTGGGGGCAATCAGGAGGGATCTCATATAGGAGATGGCACCTGAGCTGAGCCTTGAAAGATTCTCAGAATCAAGCTTAGGACTGACTACATTCCAGTCTGGGAGAAGGCACACAGATGGGATATAGACTGTAAAGTTTGGGGAACACATTGGCTGGAACCTAGAGTTCATGAAGGGAAGTAATATCAGATAAGTCTGAGAAAGGAGTTAGACTTAGACTGTGGAGGTTTGCAACGCCAGGTTAGAGTTTGCAATTTATCCTAGAAGCATTAGGGAGCCACTGAAGATTGTTGATGAGGAAAGTGACGTGATCACATCTGTCCTTTAAGATTATTTTGGAAAAAGGAATACCAGAGAGGGGTGAGGTCATAACCTAGCTCTCAGACTGAATTCTATTGGTGGCTTTGAGAGTAGAGAAATGGGGGTAGAATCAGCAAGTCTTGGATGAGGGATGAAGGAGAGAGAATACTCAGGAATGACTGAGGTTGCTAACCTGAGTGACCCACAGGAGTGCTCCCAACAGAATGAGGGAAGTCTGGAGGAGGGGCACGTGGGGAGTGGTTGGCAGAGCTCCAGTTTCATTTTGGAACTGAGGGACACTCAGTTAAAGATGCAGGCGCTTGATGATGCAGGACAGGGCATTTAGGGGGGAGATTGAGACTGGATATATATATTCAGGAGTCATCTGTACAGAGATGATACTGGAAACCATGGGACCTGATGAGCCTCCCGAAATAAAGAGTAGAGAGAGACAAGGGGTCCCCAGACACTGAGAGATGTGAGAGACTCACACTTGGTCTGATGTTGCACAAAGAGACCAAGAAAGCATGACCAGTTAGGTAAGAGAACCAGGCTGCAGTGACAGCCCTCCTTGTCACAGAAGCCAAGGGAGAAGAGACCAATATGGTCAGCAGGGCCACAGGCTGAAGGTGGCTCAAACAGGTTGAGAATTAAGACCGTTGGGCTTAGCAGTTAAGGTGAGTGATAACCTTGGAGAGAGTAGTTTTAGTAGAATGGAGTTGGAAACAGGAGGGAGGGCAGGAAGTAGAAGCGGTGAACAGAAGAATTTTTGTAGGAATTTGACTGTGAATGATGTCTTGGCCTCACCATTGTGGTGGAGTGTAAAGAGCAGTGATTCTAGTATAAGGAAACTTACCTTCTGTGACCGTAGGCTAGTCATGTTACCTCTTTGAGCTTCAGTTTTCTCAGCTGTAAAATGGGGATAATAGTACTTTCTGTCTTTGGGCTGTTGGGAGGAAAAGTTATAAGGTTCCAGAGAAGAGTACTCTTAATATTGTTGTAGTCAGACTCTTTTCTTCTCTATACTTTCTGGGGCCAAGCAGAACAAATTGCATCCCTCTTGTAAATGACAATTCTTTTAAATACTTGAAAACAGTTCCATCTTTACTTCTCTAGGCTAAAAGATCTGGTTCAGAAACTTTATAAATTAATTTGGCTTCTGACTCCAAATTAGCATCTGTTCAAAGCATTGTTTCCCAAACTCATTGGTCACATAACACTTTGGGGCATGAAATATATTGATAGATTCCATAAAGGCAGGTATGGAATTACCCTGCTGGATGAGGAATGGCCAGGAATGTTTTGCAACAAAATGGAGGAAATTACATCTCTTTTCATACTGAAAAAGTGCTGCATGTAATCAATATATTTTTATCACATACAATTTCATATTTGATTTTCAAGAGGGAATGTCACTAGCGTAGGCATATTTCTCGTGTAGAACATCACTGATTACAATTTGGAAATACTGGACTATAGAAAACAAGATGGTGTCTTTGAAAGGTGACCCCTAAAGAAAGAGTTCTTGAATTTTGATTGGGAATATAGAAATCAGTGCACTCAGCTTTAGAAAAGGTTGAAATGCTTATTGAAGTACTTATATGGAGTCAATTTACTGGCTATATGGCCCTGGACAAGTTTTCTAACTTCTGTCAGCCTTAATTTCCTTTCTCTATAAAGTGGGGATAATAAAAGTACCTACTTTATAATGCAGTTATGAGTGTCAGAGGAGATAATACATGTTAAGGTGCTTTTTAAACCTTAAAAATTCTATGTAAATGTTAGCTGTTATTACCCATTTTATTAGTACGTACCAAGAGAGAGGGAGGTGACTCAGTAGATTGATTTCAGGGCCTGTAGTTAAGAAGACCAGAGTTCAAAGCCAGCCTTTGATACATACTAGCTATATGACCCTGGGCAAGCCACTTAACCTCTGTTTGTGCCTTAATCCACTGGAGGAGGAAATGACAAATTACTCCAGTATCTTCTTTGCCAAGAAAACCCTATGGACACTATGGGTCCATGAGGTCAGGAAGTGTTAGACACGATTGAACAACACCAACAAGGTTACTTTAAAATTTTTTCAAAGGCAGTAATCTCAATAAGTGAAGAAACTCCATGGGAGTAAGAAAAAAAATAAAGAGGAGAAAAGTAGCATAAATATTTTGCAAAAGACTATGTATATATAATGGTGACCTGGTATTATTTATCTGACGTCGGCCAGCTGCGTTATGTACAATCAGAAATCATTGTATTATCCCTCAGTTCTCTATCACTTTATAATTTATAAAACTTTCCCTATAAGCATATTATGTTTGCTTGTACCTACTTCATATTCTAGACAAACTGGCCTGCTAGCTGTTCCTCATTCCTGAAAAGCCCTCCACACAAACTCCTGTCTGAGAAGGCTTTTCATGGCACAGCTCAGCTGCCATTTCCTTCATGAATCCTTTCTTGGTGCTCCTAGTTGCTAGGTTCTCTCCCTCTTCAGATTACTTTGTTTTATATAGATTTGGCACATGTTGTATCCTTCTGGTGAAATTGTAAACTCCTTGAAGGCAGAGAACTTTCATTTTTCCATTTGTATCCCAGCATCTAGCAGATAAGGAAAACTGATCTAACAGAATTATCCAAAAATAGAATGGTCTGCCCCAGGAGGTCCTGGCTTTGCCTTCATTGAAAGGCTTTCCATCTGACTCTGGATCATCAGTTATTAGGCATATTTATAGCTGGGATCCTACTTGTGAGGTAGAATGTGGGTGATGGGAGCATGGCTAATGTGGGAATTTTAACTATATATATATATTTGTAATGACCCTTGTTTTTCTTGCTTTCCCAATGTTTGAATCTCTTCAGATATTGAGATTCTGTGATTCATTTCTAGCTCTCACATAGGATGTACTCTTGTCTCTGAACCTCAATTTCTTCTTCTGTAAGATAAAGATAATAAACTTTGCATTCTGCCTCCTGGAAATGTTAGGAAAATTCTTTGGTAACCTTAAGCTTAATTAAAATGTGAGGAATTGTTATTTGAAATACTCTTTTGTCTAAGTACTTAGATAAAAGTACCTTTTTATCTAAGCTTCAAATAATCAAGAAGCTAAATACTATACATTCCTTTCTCCTTCTTCCACTCCAGGTACCACCCCCCAAGCCAAACAACACATTCCAAAACTCACCTAATTTTGTATTAACTGCTCGTTTTGTTTTTCTGTGCCATGATGCCCTTCATTATTTACCTAACATTTAGTGTTTTTTTTGATAAAAATGGTTAAGACACTGGCACAAATAATTGAAGTACAGATAGCATGTAAGTATAGAAGAATGTAAGGGAAAAAATGTTGTAGGTGTATAAAATGTTATAATTGGAAGGGACCTTAGGCATCATCTTGTTGGATTTCCTTATTTTATAAATAAAGAATCTCAGATCCCAGAGAAGGGAAATGACCTGTCCAGAGGCACATTGCTAATAAAAGGCAGAACCAGGATGTGAACCCAGCTCTTTCTTCTGTGAATTCATATGAAGCAGTGATGCTTCTGGTTAGGGAGGATTCCTGCATGAAACAGGTGGTATGGGAGATAAACTGTCAGTGAGTAGAGGTGAGGATGAGGGATGGATTTATAAAGGCACAAAGCATGGTGTATGTTCAGGTAATGATTAATATCCTGGTTTGGTGGGATTGTTACTCAAGAATGGCTTCTTGTGCTCCAAAAGACAGCAAACAAAGTGATCCATTTAAAACTGACCCACAACCCCCATCTACCAATATGTTTAGCAGCTCTTTTTGTGGTGGCAGAGAACTGGAAACTGGAGGGAGAGGAAGTACCCATTAACTGGACACTGACTGAACAAGTCATATATGTGAATGAGAGTGACTGCTATAAGAAATGATGAAGGGAATAGCTTCAGAAAAAACTGGGAAGATTTGTATGAACTAACATAGAGTGAAGGGAGCAGTTAACAGGAGAATTATTTATAAAATAACAATTTTGTGAAGACAAACAACTTTGAAAAACTTAGGAACTCTGATTAACACAATGACCAACTATAATTCCAGAAGACTCATGATAAAATATGCTATCCACCTCCTTATTGAGAGCTGATGGACTTAAAATGCAGACTGAGGCAGGGGTGGGGGGGGGAGGGGTGGAATACACTGCTAATGTGGGGATTTGTTTTGCCTAATTGTACAACTATATGTATTTGTAATGGGTTTTGTTTTTTGCTTTCTCAGTGGGAGGGAGAGAATTCTCAACTGAAAATAAAATAATATTGAACTTTTAAAAATAAAATAAAATTGGTCCATGTTGTATCACACTATGGTGTTTGTGTGTTGCAGGAAATAGCAAGTAAGCCTTGGAGAGCATTCAAAGTCTTTATTCCCTCTACCAGAAGGAAGAGGAGATAGTGGCTTTTCTGTTGGAAAATTTTCTATTTTTCTACTTCATTTTTAACTGCTGTATTCCCTAGAACTTCAGACAGCATCAGGAGGCAAAGAGTAAACAAACATTATGTATATTTGTGGGTTTTCTAAATTGGGCCTCATAGCATTTGGAGATATATTTTAATTTCAGTTGGATACCAAATCCTTTGATGTGAAACTTTTCAATTTGTTACAGTGGAAGATTGATGATAAACCTGTAAAAATTGACAAGTGGGATGGATCTGCGGTGAAAAATTCTTTGGATGATTCTGCCAAAAAGGTACTTGCTTCTTTGTAACATCATTATAGCTTCCCTTTTAAAATTAGCCTTCAAAATACCTGCCTGCACACAACTAGTAATCCATCTTCAGTGGGTCTTGTGTGTGTGTCTGTGTGTGTGTGTGGACTCAGGTGACCAGTGTTCTTGAAAGGTTGAAACTGGGCTAGAAAGGATCTTGGTGATTTGTCTTCACATAGTGGAGCTGCCAAATTGGTCAAAAAATGTTCCATTCCCATGGTTGCCGTTCTAGTTCAGGCCTTTATAACTTCACCTGTACTGTTGAAATAATGCAACTGGTATATCTACCTCCAGCTTTTCCCCCTCTTCAATACATCCTTGACATAGAGATGCCAAGATTACAAATAAGCCTTTTTAGATTGGTATTTTGTTTCTCTCTGGTTATAATCTCTCTTTCCAACATTATTTCACACTATTCCCTTTTCATACTTATTACATTCCAGCCAGGAATAAGTAACTTGTTCCTAGTTTTTATTTTGCTTCCTTCTTTCTCTGCATTCATGCAAGCTGCCCCCTATGGCTAAGAAGTACTCCTTTGCACCTATTAAAATTCTTTTCTTTCAAGGTCCCAGTTCAGATGTTGTCATTTTCCCTGGTTAATCCCCAACTAAAAATAATCTTTTCCCCAAATTTTCCTAGAGCACTTTGTTCCCATTCTACCTTGTATCATACACATTTGTGTACATGTCCCATACTTCTATTAGATTGTAATCTCTCTAGGGCAAGGATTGTATTATTTTTCATGTTTCCAGTCCCATCATCAAGGCATGTAGAATTGAATCAAATTGCTTTGGGTTAGTAGCAGAATGTGTGGACTTTCTCTGAAGTTCTTAAGTAATAAATTAAACACTCAAGTTGCCATAGGTGGTTTAGAGAAGAGGTTGACAAACTATGTCCTAATCTGCTTTTGTAAGCCCCTTGAGCTAAGAATGGTTCTTACATTTTAAAATATGATAAAACTTTATTTTAAGATGTAAAAACTGTTCTTAGCTCTTGGGCTTTACAGAAGCAGGAAGCAGGTGTATTTGGCCCCATGGCCTGTAGTTTGCCAGCCTTTGGTGTAGAGTTTAATAATACTGAAACAACTTGAATTAGGTGACTTTGGAGAGTCCTTGTATTTACGATTTGATGATTCTGATTACTTCAAAAGATCTGTTATTTCAACATTGTACATCCTATTCCCCAACGTGATGCTGATTATGTAATGAAAAAGCATTTTTACACACACACACATACACAGAAACAAAATGAAGAGAAGAAATATCCTTGTTAACTGGATTCCTCAATTTATTTTTATGTTTGTTTTCTCATCAGGTGCTTCTAGAAAAGTACAAGTATGTGGAGAATTTTGGTTTGATTGATGGCCGCCTCATCATCTGTACAATCTCCTGTTTCTTTGCCATTGTGGCTTTGGTCTGGGACTACTTGCACCCCTTTCCAGCATCCAAGCCAGTCCTTGCCTTATGTGTCATATCATATCCTTGTAATCACTGCCCTTTTTTCCCTTCCAAAACATGTTGATTGGTCCACTTACCTGGGAGGAGGGGTCTGAATAACAGTTAAATTGGAGAGAAGGGACAGGAAAGAGAGCTAAAGGAAATCAGACTGAGTAAGAGGCAGCTTACTTTTGGACTGATGAGATCTGGCTTCCAGTCCTGATTCTGTCACTAAGCAGTGAGATTTTGGACAAATCACTTTCCCTCTTATTGGCTCGTCTATAAAATAGGGGTAATAATTCTGACACTATTTACTTCATGGGGTGGTTGTGAGGAACATCTTTAAGATTTACAAAGTGCTTAGAAATTTGCATTTTGACTCTAGAAATCAGGTTTCATGTCTGACTAATGTGGGTAATCTTAGGAAGGAGCCATAAGTGCTCCTTTGACAGATCAGTGTCTTAGGATCAGAGATTCCAAGGTGGAAGGGACTTTGGAGATCCTTGAGTCCAACCCCTTCCATTTTGCTGAAAGGGATGTGGCTTCCCAAGGTCACCTAACTAGTAACTGGAAGTGCCAAAATGCAGGCCCATGTCCTTTGGCTCCAAATCCAGGGCTCTTTCTCCCATACAGGTCCTTAGCCAATCCCTCTAGTCCCTTACAATCTTGGTCTCTCTCTTGCAGATACCTGCCACTTCACTGTGTCCCTCTACGTGCTATCCCTTTTTGTAACGTAAGAAGCCAGTGAAATAAGTTCAGAGCAAGGAGACATGAACTGTTAGAGCACTACTGTAGAATGGTAGAAAGATGTTAGAGACTATTGAGTCCAACCTTAGCTGACAGATTTGGAAGTGGACCTAGAGAGATTGGTTGACATGTTTGCAGTAATACAGCCATCTCTGAAGACAGAAAGTTTCAGGGGCCTCTTTAATTTCCATATCTTTGTTTTGCCTTGTCTTAGCTTTCTGTTTCCTTAACGTACCCTGAACCTATTTCATCATGATGGGGATCCTGACCATCTATACTTCATATAAGGAGAAAAGCATTTTTCTTGTAGCGCATAAAAAAGATCCATCAGGAATGGATCCTGATGATATTTGGCAGCTCTCTTCCAGTCTTAAACGGTATGCTCACTGTATGATTCTTTATATGATAAAGAAATGGGTTTTTCTTCAAGAATATTTACTGCCAGCCATTCTCATTCTCTCTCTCCCCCCCCTTCTTCTTCTTCTCCTTCTCCTTCTCCTTTTCCTTTTCCTCCTCCTTCTTCTTCTCCTCTCTCTCTCTCACACACACACATACACTCCCTCTCTCTCTGTCTCTTTCTCTCTCCCTCCCCTTCTCTTTTCTCTGTTTCTATCCATCCCCTTCCTCTCTCCCCTTCTTCCTCTTCTCCCTCCCTCCCTCTCATTCTTTTCTTTCAAACTCACATTTATGTAGCCTTTTAAAGTTTTCAAAAAAAAGAAAAAATTTCCTTACAAGAACCCTGTGAATTCAGTAGTACAAATTTTATTATCCCCATTTTATGAAAAATTTGTCAAAAACTGAGATTCAGAGTCTTTCCACTCGTAGCAAGGTGGTGCAGTGATAGAGTGTGGGGCCTGGAGTTAGGAAGACCTGAGTTCAAATGCAACCTCAGATATTTAACTAGCTATGTGATCCTGGGCAAGTCACTTAACCTTTGTTTGCCCATTTCCTGTAATAGCACCAACCTTCCAAGGTTGTTTTAAATATCAAATGAGGAATATTTGTAAGTGGTTAGCATAGTGCCAGGCACATAATAGTCACTTAATAAATGCTTGTTTCCTTCCTCCTTTCTGAGAGATTAAGTTTCACATAGTAAGCATCTGAAGAGAGATTTGAACCCTACTGAGTAGCACCTATCCCACTGCATCACATCTTTCTAGTGCTTTGCTGCTACAAAGAGTGCTGCTTTGAATGTGTGAGTACATTCTGGGATTTCACACTTTAACTTTCTTGGAATTAATACTCATGACAGGCAGGCATTGCCAGGTCAAAGAGCAGCAGACATTTTAGTCACTTTTCTTAGAGAATTCCAAATTGCTTTCCAGAATGGTTGAGTACTTCCATGGTTTTATTGACAGGAGAAAAACATGTATCTCTTCCCACAGTTCCTCTTATATTGACATTTCTCACTTTTTTTGGTCATCGTGCTAATTTGAATAAGAGGTGAAACTTCAGAATTGTTTTAATTCGCATTTCTTTTGGTATTAGTGGTTTAGAGCATATGTTATTTCCTGTAGTAGTTATAGTATTATAATACCATTACTATACAAGACAGAGAAAGAGAGAGAATATAGAGAGTATTATAGTGCTATTACTATACGAGAGAGAAAGAGAGAATATAGAGTATTATGATTTCTATACTATATATAGAATGTGTAGATATTTTAATAGAGTATATTGTAGTATAGTAATATAGCAACTATAGTACATAATTTCTCTTTTGAAAAGTGTTCATGTTTTTTGACTTCCATGATATTCTTAGGTGTAACTTTCATTATATACTGTGTTTTCCTCTCCTACTTCATCCCTTACTAGTAGACTATAAATTCTTTGAGAGAAAAGTCTCCCTCGCCATTTTTAATCCTTAGTGCGTAGCATAGAATTCTTTGCATAACTCAATGTTTGAATCAATACCAGCAGCAGACATTCATTGAACGTCTTCTACAGGTAGGGCTCTGTTCCAAGTACTGGGGACGTAGAAGTATAAAATACAATCTGGGTGTTGATAAACCAGTTTGGGAACCAAGACATATCAGCAGAAGGATAGCTTATAATACATGGTGGCTTTCCCAAGTGCCAGATGAATGATGAGTCTGACATAGGTAGATTATAGGATCAAGAACTAGAAAGGATTTTAGAAATCATATTGTCATTGAGGCCTAGAGAAAGAAATAGGATGAATGAATGAATGAGAAAGCATTTATTAAAGACAGTGTGCCAGGCATTATACTAAGTACTGGGAATAAAAATACTGAAGAGACATAGTTGCTTCCCTTAAGAATCATACACATAGAGGAGTTTTGGCCAGGGAAGTTTTTTGGTTTGGGAACATACCAGAATAGTGAGTGAGACCATATGGCAGTCCATCAAAAATGCCTTTTTTAGAAGCATTAGTGATAATGATGATGGTGATAGCCAGCTAGTTATTTATATGGTGCCTGCTACTTATCAGGCACTGTGCTAAGTCTTTACAAATATTATCCCATTTGATTTTCACAGCAATCCTGGGAGCTAGGTGTTATTATTATCATCATTTTACAGTTCAGGAAACTGAGGCAAACAGGTTAAGTGGCTTCCTCAGGGTCACATAGCTAGTAAGTGTCTGAAACCCAATTTAAATTCTAGTCTTCCTGACTCCAGGCTTAGCACTCTATCCATTGTGTGCTGCCCAGTGACCAACTCTATTGATTTAATTGTAATTTTCATTGTTGGTAACGTGTGAGAAAGATGAATGAGGAAATGTTGTTTGTCCTTTGAAGAGGACCAGTGACATCACAGACAATGTTTTGACTCCAGTGCAAATTGGATTGAAGAGAGGCAGAGTTGGACAAAGTTGTCAGTCTCACTCTCTCTTCCTGAGTCATTGAAGTCCAGTGGTAGAACAAAAGTCAAGACGACTGGTGATGGCCTGCGATGCAGTGCGTGACCTTGGCATGACCATGACATCTTCTGTGTCTGACCAAGCTCTAAGTGCTCCACAGTACCTGCTTCAGCTGCCTTCATCGTCATTGGAACAAATTGTTCTCATCCACCCATCCCACCAGGGAAAGTCTTCACATGCTTAGAGTAGACATCCCCTTAACTCACTGATGGGTCTGAGGCCAGTCGGTTACTCTTAGCCTTTTTAGCCCATCTGCTGAGACTTTTTGCTGGGGTGTGGCTGCTGTGCATGCTGCAGCTCCTTGGAGCCACAGGTAAGAAGAGTTGGGTGACAAGTAGACACCAACTTTGGATGAGCAGTCCCAAAAAGGGCTCAGGAAGTCCTCACACCAGAGGTGCTAGTCCTCCCTGAACACCCCATACATGGAATGAGGAATGTAGTAACATGCTCATGGTAACATAAGGCATTAGATAGAAAAGCTGGGATTTGAACCCAGGTCTCAGCCCTAAGTCTAGTGTTCTTCCAGTGACATCACACTGCCTGTTTTATTCTGTATAGAAGGTTGATGATATAAGGGACCTTCCAAGGTTATTGTGAAGATCAAATGAGGTTAGTGGTGGGAGCCCCTACACTGGTGAAATTCCAGATCTTTAAGGATTGTTGTGTCCATCTAACTACTGTCAAGTCCTTGATGACAGACTCTGCAGTAAAAATAAACAGAACGTGAAGAGAAGGGAAGGCTTCTTCTGCTTTAGATGGCTCAGGGGAGACAGTTGATGAATAATGCTAAATAAAGAAAGAAAAGAAAAAAGGAGAATCAATGAAACATTTAAAAATATATGCCAGACTATAAAGGGAAGTTCAGAAAGGCCCACAGACAACCAGAGCAATTTAGTTATTTTCATGTTAATTTAATATATACTCTTTAAAAAAACTTTTTAACTGAAGTTCATAGTCATATACAATCCCCTTTTCTGTTTTTTGCTTATTGAAATGTCCGTGTTTGTTGATGTTTAAGTTGATTTTAAAAAAATGAAAAGAAAAATCACCTGAGAGGGCAGTCCTGACTTTAGTTTACTAACCTTGTGACTATAGGAAGTCACTTAATTGTACTGCTCCTTCATTAAATTCAGTAATTCAATAAATGTTCCTCATGTGGTGTGGCTGCTCCACAGCACCTGCCTGTTGATAAAGAAGTGCTTTGTAAACTGTAAAAGTCTATATAGATGTTAGTTATGGTTCATTTTGAGGTTCAGGACCCAAGGTGTCGTCTGTTAGTAGATGCCACTTACTGTTGATGAATGCTTACCAAACCTGAATTCTGTATGTTGTGTCCTGGTACCCAGATTTGATGACAAGTACACCTTGAAGCTGACCTTCATTAGTGGGAAAACCAAGCAGCAGAGAGAAGCAGAGTTCACTAAATCCATTGCTAAGTTTTTCGACAACAGTGGGATGCTGGTCATGGAGGCCTACGAGCCTGAGATCTCCAAGCTCCACGACAGTCTCGCCACAGAGAGGAAAACGAAATAACCCTTCCAGGAGCAGCCTTTTTTCTGCTGGGATCATGCTGACCACACATACACACACACACACACACACACACACACACACACCAAACAACAAAAACAAAACAGAAACAAATACCCCACAAGCCAGAAACTAAAGCAGATAGAGTAAAATAAAAAATGTTTAAAATGTCTCATGTTTTGTCATGAAATCCTAGTTCCTTCTGGATCAATAGGATTTTCTAAAGTGGAATCAGGAGCTGGGAGCTAGTGTAGAGCAAGCAAGGTCATGGTCAGACCCGGTCCATATGGCTGCCTTGCTCTAACCTGTCATTACGGTTGCTCTCTGACCTTTGGAATTGATTAGATTGAAAGACTCTTGATTTATCAAGGACTTTTGGAAGGAGTTTTTGCTTGAAGCTCTATAGACCTCCTCCTTTGTACCTGGCAGTGCTTATACCATGCAGCAGCAGCTTCCTGCAATGCCTGCCCCTCCCTTTCTTTTAAATTTTTTAACCTGTTCCCCATAATGCTGACTGTTGCACCTGTCCATTATTAGTTTTTTATCCCAGGCCCTGCCTCCTTCAGGGATTTAGGACAAAACCTTTGGGGTACAACAGCTTCTAGTCACAGACCTACTTTTGAGTTTTGTATTTATTGACTGAATTGGGGGGGTGACTTTAAAAAAGTAATAATACACAATACCCATCACATTAATTTGTTGAAAACAGACCAGGGGAAGGAAAGATCCTCCTTCTGGATATCAGGTTTTATGCTCTTGACCAATCAAATCAGTCAATGGCGTTTTTAGTTCTCTTTGTGTCCTCCATGGCTTCTCCCCACCTCTGCCCCCCCCAACTCTCCCGTTTCTTAATTTCTGTTCTGTGTCCCTTATTAACTGCCATTTTCTAAATGAATTTTTTTCAATAAAAGGAAATAAGAGATGCAAATGTGGTGTTGTGACTTAATGGAAGAGAAAGATCAGCCTGTGTCGGTTTTTTTGTTGAGTTGTCCACCAACAGGTTTGAGTTGAAGCTCCTAGGATTTAGACCAGGCAGGGACTTTTGGCCATCGTCTGGATGCAACTCTCGGCTTTGCCGATTTTCCTGAATGAGGTCCTTTATCAATCTGAGCCTGAGTTTTCTCATCTGTAAAAGAAGGAAGTTTGATTGAATGATTTCATATGCAGTTTGAGCTGGAAGGAACCTTTCAGATCACCTGTGAGTCTGAGCTGCTTCTTTAAAATTAGTAAATTGGAGTAGATAATTTGAGGAGCCCTACAGCCCTAAGAGCCCATTCATTGAACATGGACATCTGTTGTGTCCACTGGGAGCGATCCAGATGTGCATACTACAGTCCCTACTCTCAGACAGCTCCCCAACTAGTATAAGAAGTAATGTAAACATAATACAGATGTGAAGGTGATGATCCACAGGAGTACAGAGATACGACTTCACATCAGAGTGGAGGTGGAGGTTATCAGAGAAAGCCTCGGAGGAGATGGCATTTGAGGAGGCCTTGAGGGAACCACAGGATTTCAATAGGGGTGGTAGGTGCAGAAAACTGTGAGCAAAGCTGAGAGGGCAGAGCCCTGGACCTTGTCTGAGGAGAGCAAGTAATCCTGTTTGGCTGTCAGGTAGAGCATATGAAGGGGAAGTCTAGGGAGAGAGAATGTAGGAAGGGTAAGAAGGGCCTTGAATGTCAAGCTTAGAATTTAGTTCTGTAGGCCACAGGGAGTCAGTAAAGATTTTGACGAGGGGTGGTGAGAAGTGATAGGATCGGAGACTTAATCAAACTGCAACTATACACTAATATCAAGGATTATGGCAGGTGCTCTTGAACTTGTAGGTTGAACTGAGCAGGGCTTTACTTTAAAATAGTTATAGCAACTTTGCCCAGGGCAATAACCTTCATGGGTTGCCTGGGGAGATGGGGCAACCAGGGACTGCAGCAGGTGTCCTGTCAGGAAGTGGTGGGGTCAGCTGAATTGGGGCGGGGTGACCTAAGAGAGACAGTGTACCTTAGTCCTGATGAAGGTTATGCTTTGCCGGGGTTACCTCTGCCTCTCGTCTGGGGGACCTTGTCTTTGTCTTTGTTTTGCCCTTTCTGGCATCTCAGATTTTCCTAAGCAGGAGAGGAGTGGGAGTGAAGTGAGCTTGAGGACTGGAAAAAATCGAAGGGATCCCTCCTCATTCATCAGCTGGTCATGGGACTAAGGACCTTTGTTCTGGAAGTGGGGATGGAGGGGTACTTGTCAGACCACCAGTCAGAAAGAGTGCAATATTGGGAGTCAGGAGACTTGGGTTCTAGTCTCTGCTCTGACCTAACTAGGTTTCTTCCCCTGTAAAATGACCCCTGAAAAATGAAGCGGAAGGGCACATGATCTCTAAAGTCCCTTTGAGCTCTAAGTCTATGTAAATCAGTAAAGATTTTAATAATGAAGAAAATAGAATGTCAGAGCTAGAATACACCTTAGAACACAAGGTCAGAGCTAGAATGCACCTTAGAATACAGAATGTCAGAGCTGGGAGGGTTCTAGAACAGGGAATGTCAGAGCTGGAAGGGATCTCCAAGCAGAGAATGTGAAAGCAGCCGTCTACAAACTAGATCGTAATCCAGGACCTCCCTGTCGGACGGGAAAACCCACCCGAGAGGCTGAGTTACTTGGCCAAGATCCCGCTGGTCCTAAACTCCCAATCTTGTTTTCCAAGTCTGTACCCTCCCCGCGGCCGGGTCTCCTGCACACTGGCTCCGAACCACACGGTAACATTTGTTCAGGCCGCGGGGGCTAGCAGGACTGAGGAGGTTTAGGACCAGGTGCGCAGGGAGACCGCTGCTCCTCCTACGCTCCACCCCGCTGTGCCGGAGAGGTCACGAGGGACGCTGCTTCTCTGTGCGCATGCTCAGCATTCTGCATAACTCCTCCTGCCAGGGCTCCACGCCTCTGTAATCCAGGTAGGCTCGGTGTGGGGCTAGCTGTCGGCCACGCTCTGGCATGTTACTCTTTCCTCCCACCACCTTGTCTCTCCCATTTCTGGATCTCTTCGCCTGCTCTGCGTCTTCCCAGGCTCACTTTGGCTCTTTCAGGACTTCGTGTCTGCCGCGCTCGACCGGTTCCCCCCTGCCCCTCCTCCCCGCCTGCCCCAGGCCCGGTCACGCGCCTCCTCTGTCCTCGGCCAAGTCCAGAGCCGCGGGCCGGCCTGAGGCTCCCGGTGAGCGGGACGTGCGGGGGTGGCTGGGAGCGTGGGGATAGAATGCGGGGGGGGGGGGGGGGGCGGGGGAAACCATGCAGAGGACGAGAGGAGGAGGAGGAAGGGAGGTGCG